CCCGTGTCCTCTGCATCGGCAGGCGGACTCTCAACCACTGCGCCACCAGGGAAGTCCCTACTTTTCATTTTTTGAGGAATCGCCATACTGTTTTCCATAGCTGCATCATTTTACATTCCCACCAACAGTGCACAGGAATTCCAATTTCTCTACATCCTCACCAACATTTGTTATTTTCTGTTTTGTTTTGTTTTGTTAAGAATAGCCATCCTAATGGGTGTGAAGTGCTTCCAAAAATTTTTAAAGACTCCTTTTGTTATGGAAATTTCCCAATATATAAAAAAATAGAGCGAAAAGTAGTTGAACTCCCATATATCTGTCACGTAGCCTCAATAATTATGAACACTTGGCCAATCTTGTTCCAATTATAATCTGTCCTTCCTCCCCCACTATTGGAACGCAGACCCCAGTCATCATAAACTTAAAACGAATTAATTTTTAAATTGAAGTATAGTTGATTTATAATATATAAACTTTCTTTTTTTTTTCCCTGTTAAAGCAAAATAAAGCATAAAACAATGTTATAAGTAGTGTATTGTGAATTTTACTTGCATCATAGCTGTGTATTTGATTCAGTGATCCATACCTCTTGTGTCGTTATTAACAAATATTTTCTCAGCATCATTCTTGCTCTTGTACAGTGCAGGTATAGATATACTTTACATATGCCTTTCATCTACCCTTGCCTTCTTGCTTGTTAACAATTTATGAGTAAAATTTTAAAATACACAATTACTGTGATCACAAGCTGCTTCGTCATTTGTAAACACAACTATAACAGCATATCAGTACCTGTCAAAAGAAGTCATATTATATTGGAAAAGAGTGAAGCAACATCATTATAGACATAGCCTTGAATTACCTCTAATATTTTTTAATTGAGGTATAAATGTTGACATACAACATTATATTAGTTTCAGGTGTACAACAAAATGATTTGACATCTGTATATATTGTGAAATGATCACCATGATAAGTATAGTTAACATCCATCACCACTCATAGTTACAGAATTATTTTTTCCTTGGGATGAAATTTTCAAATTTACTCTTAGCAACTTTCAAATATGCAATAGCAGTATTATTAACCATGCTGTACATTATAGCCTTGTGACTTATTTATTTTATAACTGGAAGTTTGTGCTTTCTGACTGCCTTCATCTGTTTTGCCCACTCCATGTCCCCACCTCTGGCAACCACTAATCCTTTACCTGTGCAGCTCCTATTTATTTTTTCTTTTTAAAAAAAAATTTTTTTAAAGATTTTTTTGATGTGGACCATTTTAAAAGTCTTCATTGAATTTGTTACAATATAGCTTCTGTTTTACGTTTTGGTTTTCTGGCCTTGAGGCATGTGGGATCTTAGCTCCCCGACCAGGGATCAAACCCACTCCCCCTGCATTGGAAGGGGAAGTCTTAACCACTGGACTGCCAGGGAAGTCCCCTGATTTCTTTTTTTAAAAAAGACATCATATACTTTCATTTGTATGTACTTCAGAATACTGTATACCTCAAAGTTAAGGACTCTTTTTTTAACATAACCATAAAAGCATATTATACCTAAAAGTTAACAATAATTCTTTTATCATCAGATACCTAGTTTGTATCACCTATATCTTTATGCTCAGTTTCTTTTAATCTGATGGTACAGGAAACAAAGGGTTAACAAGTCACTCAGAGATGACAGTTTACGTTGTTAACCAAGATTCAGTTAAAATTTTTAGTTTATTAACTCTACCAGCAAGAGCTCTGGTTTTTTTTAAACCATTAATGCTCTTCCTGATATTCATTGACATTTGTATATATACCATAAACAGTACATTAGGCTACTTCCTTCAGCAAATAAGGTGAGCTTAGTTCTAGAGTTACCTTCTGTTTGATTTATTATTATTCTTTTAATAAATTTATTTACTTATTTTTGGCTGTGTTGGGTCTTCGTTGCTGCTCGAGTTTCTGCGAGCAGGGGCCTACTCTTTGTTGCGGTGCTCGGGCTTCCCATTGTGGTGACTTCTCTTCGTTGCAGAGCATGGGCTCTAGGTGCGCAGGCTTCAGTAGTTGTGGCACGTGGGCTCAGTAGTTGTGGCTCACGGGCTCTAGAGCGCAGGCTCCGTAGTTGTGGCACACGGGCTTAGTTGCTCTGCGGCATGTGGGATCTTCCCGGACCAGGGCTCGAAGCCATGTCCCCTGCGTTGGCAGGCAGATTCTTAACCACTGTGCCACCAGGGAATTCCCCTCTGTTTTATTTATGTTTATGTGTTTATCTGTTAAAACTGGCCGTTTTAAGGGGCTTTAGAAAATACACCTAAAGGCAGAACACAGGATGAAAATATATCTTCAAATTTATCTACATATCTGATAGAATGTGCTGGTAGAGATGTTTACATTTTGGCTTTTTTGGAGGTGGGGGCTGGTAATTATACATTTGCAGCTCTACATTTTCTTAACGTTTATCTCAGTGTTAAAAATGAGAATCTATTTACAGAGGTCAGAAGTCCTCTTTTGGCAAAATCAGGTTGTTGCTTGATTCTTTAACATTGGGTCATTTGGAATCTAAGTTTCAGTAGAGCCAACTGAAGGCTGTGGGAAAAGAAGGAGAGGCACACACAATTATTAATTCTTTTTCCCTCCTTTATTTTTCTTAATTTGCACAGAAGACCACAGTATACAGTATACTAATGTCTAATGTTTGAAGGAAGTCTTGTTCAAGATACAGGGAAAAGAGCACCCTATCATTTAAGATTCCATCAGTATTCAGGTGTAAGAATGCAGTTCTCTTGTCAGGCACAGATAAATGAGTTAGTTAAAGGCAAAGCTAGTTCTTTCTCTGTGGCTCTATTTATATATTTTCTGTGTGTTGTTTTCTTTTGTTTTTTGGTTTTGTTTTTTTTTTTAAGAGGGCTGTTTTGTTGGTTTATTTATTTCAAAGAAAGTTGTGCTGTAAGGTTTCTTTTTTAAAAAATTTTATTGCAGTGTAGATTTACAATGTTGTGTTTCAGGTGTACAGCAAACTGAATCAGTTATACATATACATATATCCACTCTTTTTTTAGATTCTTGTGTGCTGTCTTACTAATTAACAATTTTCTTTTTGCTTGAAGATAGCTTATATCCTTGTTGAGTAAGTAACCTCAGTAGCTAGGAGCACAGAGGCTTCAGAGTGATAGTGACACTAAAATTATTTCCCATTCTTCTTGTGTTGTTGTGATAGTATTGATGGTAGTAATATGGGTAGTAATATAGTGACCCTTATATAGTATTTACCATCTGCCAGGCAAAAACTAAGTTCTTTACACGTATTAACTTACACAACATTTAATTTGCACAACAGCCATATGAGATAGATATTATTATCCTCGTTTTACTGATGAGGTATTAAGGCACGCAGAGGTTAGTAACTAACTACTCCAAGTACAAATAACTAGTAAGTGGCAGAGCTAGGAATTGATCTGAGGCAGCCTGGCACCAGGGTCCTTCCTCCTAACCATTATACTGTACTGTACTTATTTGACACCCATATAAGTAAAGGGAAATGTGAGATAAAAAATGTTCTTAACGTCTCTGTGGGCTCTATGGAACTTATTATTTGTTCATTCAGTGCTCCCTGTAGAATCAGGGATTACAGAGAGAACATTTAATCTCAAAGCATTCGTCCCTATTTTCAAACTAGTATTTTCAGATCTGTTCTCCATCTGAGACCTTGCATTTAGAAAAAGTACACTTGAACTTTTTAGTTTAATTGGCAGATCAAGAGCTTACAGACAGGATATTGCCTTTGAGTATTTAGACTGTATTTGCTGACCTCCTGAAGCAGTAATCTGGCACACTGTTTCTACTACAGTTCAGCAGTGTTAGGGGTTCTGACTTCAGAGTGTGTGTGTGTATGTTTTATATATATCTTTGTAGATAGGCCACTTCTCCACAAATGGAGCCAATCTTTTACAAATTCTAAAAACCTTTCAGAGCATTAAAATCCAAAAAATATCTAAGCATTTGAAGTAGAACTATGAGCAATGCAAAATGTTACCTTTCTGGAGACTTGTGATAAGTAGTGACAACCTGCCCACTTCTAAATGCTTGAAGTTCAGGCCAAAGAACCTCCAGTTAATCTTGCAGAGTTAGTTCTTATTTGGGCACCGATTTACATATACTTTTTATCTTTAAGTCTGAGTTAATAGCCACTATTTGTTAAGAAAGCCAATGTTCTGTTTTCTTTTGTTTCCTTTGTCTTGGATTATGTGGATCTGGCTGTGCCCTGGTTAGAACACATTTCCTCTGGTGCTTTGGGTCAGTCAAGTGTTTGGCTGCAGGGAGGAATAGATCACCATTTCTGCCCATCAAGTGTGCATCTTATGGAGATAGATGACTTTCTCATGCTAATTTTCTTTCCCCTAGGTTTATGAAGGCCTAGACATCATCACCAACAAGGTTTCTGCCCAAGAGCAGAGAATGTGCCAGCACCACATGATCAGCTTTGTGGATCCTCTTGTGACAAATTACACAGTGGTGGACTTCAGGAACAAAGCAACTGCTCTGATATCCTTAGGAAAGACAGCAACTAGGCTTGGTGGCTGCAAGGCAGCCCAAGCCAAGAAAGTTTTCTTTCTAGTGACAATTTCTCCTAAGCAGAGGTACCCAAGATCAATAGTAGCTTCCCCATGAGAACTATTCGGATTGAAAAGATATAGTGTTCTTGCCACTCTGAGTCTTGTCCTTAGACTGCAGCATCAGCATCACTTGGGAGCTTATTGAAGTGCTGAATTTGGGCCTCATTCTAGACCTACCAAATCAGAATCTGCATTTAAATAGAGTCGCAGGTGATTCACATGCATATTAAAATTTGAGAGGTGCTGTTTTAGTGGAGAGAACACTGATTTAGGAGCCAGAAAATCCATGTCCTAGTTTTAGAACTGCCTCGTCTGACCACAAAAATTTAATTGGGTAAAGCGTTTACCCCACTGAGCTTCACTTTCCCACCTTTAAATGGGGATAAGAAATTAATTTATAAATATAATGGAATTATAGTTAGAATTCCAAAGGGATTAGGAAAAAATAGTTCTGGGTAACACCAGGAAATTTTGGAAAAAAGAATACCATAAGGGGTGGGGGGCTGCCCTTATATTTTAATGTCCAAACTGCCTTTAATATCTGGACTGCTGCATATTAAAACATGTTGAAAATCCATAATAATTATAATAGCATGGAACTTACATAATACTAGACAGATTTATGGCACAGATTAGAAAAGTCAGATACAAATTCAAATGGATGTATATATTTAGCTTACGATCAAGGTGGCATTTCAAAACAGTGGAGAAAGAATGTAGTAGTTAATTATTCCTGGGACAGTTAATTATTTTTGGAAAAAAAAAATCAGTTCCTTATTATATGGACATAAATTCCAGATGGATTTCAGAGTTAAGTAAATATGTATTTTTTTTAAACGAAACTGAAACAAATGGGATAGCATATAATTGAGTAGTTATGTGATTTTAGAGTAGGGAAGGACTTTGTAGATCTAGTCTTTTTTTTTTTTTAAGGATTTTTAAATTCAATTTTTCCTTTTTATTGTGTTAAAATATACATAAAACTTAACATCTTAACCATTTATAAGTGTATAGTTCAGCAGTCTTAAATATATTCACATTGTTTTGCAGCCATCACTACCATCTATGCCATAATAGTTTTTTTGGTTTTTTGGGTTTTTTTGAGGAAAATAGCTAGATTTGGATCCGTTAGAATTAAGAATTCGTACTGGCAAGAAAGTATTTCAACCATTTCAATTCCTAGGTATCTACCCTAGAGAAGCCTTGCCACAAGTATACCAGGAGATAAGTGGTAGATCTAATTTTAACATTATTGCTCTTAACAGCAAAAACAGATAAATACCCAAATTCCTACTTACAGAAGAATGTATAAAATGTGCTTTGTTCATATAAGTACTTTTTCAGCAGTGAAAATGAATAAGTTGCAGTTACATGCATCAGTCAATGGGGAAGAATCTCAGAAACAACATAAAATGCAGGAGATTATAGAAGGATACATAGATGGTCATACCATTTATTATAAAAGTTAAAAAGCCAGCAAAGTTAACCTATATGTTGTTTAGGGTTTTATATACATCAGTAATAATGTGAAGAAAAGCACAGGAATGATGAAAAACAAACAATACACAAAACAATTCAAGACAGTGGTTCCCTCAGAGAGGGGCAGTAAGGGGTTGTGGTGGGAATTACTACATAGGAAGCTTCAAAAGAATTGATAATATTCACTTTCTTACATTGGGTTCATGAGTATTTGTTTTATTTTTAGGCTTTATTATTTACATATGCTGCATATGTTCTTTTGTATGTACTGAATATTTTATAATTAAAAATAACCCAGCTCACTAGAAACAAAGTTAAAAAACAGACTAGATGCGGCCAAAAAATAAAAAATTTGAAAACAACAACAAAAACAGACTATAAACCAGGGGAAAAATATCTGTAACATTAGTATACTTAATATATGAAGAACTCAAAAAATACTTAAAGAGCATGAGTAGTAATTCACAAAGGAAGAAATATAAATGGTGATAAACATGAAAAAGAGTTTACCATTGCCGTTAATCGAGGCCATGCACATCAAAATAATGAGATAATATTTTTTTGCCTATCAAGTGGGCAGAGATTAAAATGCAGATAATAATTCTTGCCCTACCTGCTTTATAATGCACTTGTGTCAGGTGAAGTAATGTATATGAAAGCCCTTTGCACATAAAAACATATCACCAGGCTTCCTTGGTGGTGCAGTGGTTGAGAGTCCGCCTGCCAATGCAGGGGACACGGGGTCATGCCCCAGTCCGGGAAAATCCCACATGCCGCGGAGCGGCTGGGCCCGTGAGCCATGGCCGCTGGGCCTGCGCGTCCGGAGCCTGTGCTCCGCAACGGGAGAGACCACAACAGTGAGAGGCCCACGTACCGCCCCCCCCCCCACACACACACACAAACATATCACCAAATGAACATTGTTGCTGTAAGACAGTTCAGTTGTTCAGAAGGGACTGATGGAAAGTGGAGAGCTAATTAAAAGAGTTAAAGGGCAGCAGCAACAGGGGATGACTTAATCAGATCACTTAGAGGATTGTAGATTTGTGAATTTAAGTAAGAACCTAGAATCAGAGTGTCAGAACTGAAAGTACCTTAAGAAGTAAGTATTCGATCAACCTTCTTGATTTGACAGGTGAGGGTAGTAGATACTGAGAGAAAGGTTTTTGCTTAGGATCACAGTTGTTTCATGGCTTGGGCAAACATGTTAAACCTTTTCCCACCAAATAACTCCTCTCCCATCTCCCTCCCTCTTTTCCATCTCTCCCTTCTGGTATCTCACCATTTCCCCTTCCCCTTTTATTTTCCTTGCTTCCTTTCCCTTTGTTAGTCAGATAATATATTTGAAGTTTTATTACAATTACTGTGTAATTGTATGTTTCTTACACTTAATTTATAGGGGGGATATAGAATTTGTTTCTCTTTTTAAAAAACGAATAGACACGTTTCTTCCTTATGCTCCTTGATTAGTAACATCTTTCTCCCCACCCTACCCCAACCTCTTATAGAGGGCTTCTGTCAGAAAAGAGGTCATCTATCTCTATGCCCACAGACTGGCTGGCAAGGGGAAAAAGTGTGTAAATGAGTCTTTATCTGGGTTGAAAGTCTCTTTATCAGTTATTCTCAGAAGGAAAGCCCTTCTTAAAGCAGATAATTATCTGTTCAACAGAGATTCTAAAGAGAAAAATTCCAAGTAGCAGTGGTGTAAAAACAATAATGACTAAATTGAGTGCTTACTCAGTTGAAAAAAATATTTCAGGCATTGTCTTAGGGATTTTATTTGCACTGTCAAGTGTAATGCTCATAAGAACTCATGAGGGGCTTCTGTGGTGACACAGTGGTTAAGAATCCACCTGCCAATGCAGGCGACATGGGTTCAAGCCCTGGTCTGGGAAGATCCCACGTGCCGTGGAGCACCTAAGCCTGTGCGCCACAGCTACTGAGCCTGCGCTCTAGAGCCCGTGAGCCACAACTACTGAAGCCCATGAGCCTACAGCCCGTGCTCCACAACAAGAGAAGCCACTGCAATGTGAAGCCCGTGCACCACAATGAAGAGTAGCCCCCGATCACCACAACTAGAGAAAGCCCACGCGCAGCAATGGAGACCCAACACAGCCAAAAATAAATAAATTAATTTAATTAATTAAAAAAAAAAACTCATGAGGATTTTACAGGTGAGAAAACTGAAGCTCAGACAAGTTGAATGACTTGCTGAGTGTTGGAGCTGGTAATTGAAATCTGTTTGTCTTCATAGCCTGTGCTTCCTAGTTCGTCTGGTAGAGTCTCAAGTGGCTGAAATGTACACTACTACTACAAAATGGTGAAGACTGAGTCTAAGAACTACGGCTTAGAGAAACCAGCTTGTAATTTGCCTTAGAAGGCAAAGTCACACAGTGGACATCATCTTGGTGGCTTCCTGAGCAGTTGACGCTTAATTCTGTGAGAGTCCTTAGTCTTGTGCTTGTTAAGCTGATTTTGAATACTAAGCAAGCTTTGAGTTTTAGCAGCAAGGCCTAGAAAGTTCTCGAATTGGAAGGAATTACCATCATGCATCTGTCTCTGGTTTATGCAAGTCCCTCCAGAACTGATAGGAAATGATTCTGAGAACTCATGAGAAACAGTGAATACTAGTATCAGAAATATGACAAATGTGGTTTCTTACTAATACCTTACTTCCAAGTGAGTCAGATTTTCTTCTTGATATTAAAATTGTGATGTCTTTCTTAACATTCACATTGAAGATATATTTGCCCGAGATAAAATTCCTATTGTCGTGGGAGGAACCAATTATTACATTGAGTCTCTGCTCTGGAAAGTTCTTGTCAATGCTAAGGTATGTTTAGTTCACTCGTAATTCAATGAGGAAATGGGTTCTTCTTTCTTGCCGGCTAATTTTAATGGGAGGAAAGTTGACTTTTGCGTGTTTCTTATATTCAGCAACTGTACTAACTTTCCTACTTAATATTCTGAAGCAAATGCCACCTCCATATGTGAAGCGTGCTTCTCCAGGCTGGCCTAAGGACAGGGGCTGTGTGTGTCAAAAATGCTCCTCTGTGGATTAATTAGCATCTCCATGTAAGTTAACAGTACATTAGTCTGATTCAGCATTTCCTGGCTGAAACAATCTATATGTCAGGGAGATATCTGACACTAACCATTCTTACAGAGATGCTATTGTGTAGGGTGGGACTTTGCAAACTATAATGTGCTGGAAATTCTGGTCCACTCTTTGGTTACACTTGTTGAGAAGACTAGACTCCTGGATGTGTTAATGTAGATGTGTTAGCCTGGGTAGCTTGTACTCCCTGAATACTTCCCTAGACACCTAGTCCTCTTTCGTCTTTGTTTGCTGTGGCCTCACAGCACTACCATGGTGTATTGGAATTTTCTGTTTATGATCTGTCTCTCACTATATGGCAAGATCTTCTGATTCATCTCTATTCTGTGTTCCTGAACACTTAGTAAAGTGCCTGGCACATACAGTCTTTCAGTGTTTGTTGAATTTTTGAATTAAATTTACTACTAAACCTTCATTTAATAGCCCTGGGAGATGGGCACTGAGAAATTGATTGACCAGAAAGTTGAGCTTGAAAAGGAGGATGGCCATGCACTCCACAAACGCCTAAGCCAGGTGGACCCAGAAATGGCTGCCAAGCTGCACCCACATGACAAGCGCAAAGTGGCCAGGTAAGAAAGCTGGGAGCCAACTGACGCCAAGCCCCTTTAGCGTTAGAGGGCAGTCAGTTGTTAAGTGTGCCTGGGTGAGACAGGTTTGGTAATAGCAGTTAGTGGAGATTGATGTGTTGTAGCTCAGCAGGTGAGGAGGTTAGGAGGCCCAGAGTTATTGCCTCAGTCCAACTCCCTCAATAAATAGTTGCACCCTACTTTGTTGTTGTTACATTTAAAATGCATAATACAATACAGTTTTTCCCTAGGGTCTATGTAATCTTGCTTCATTTTCTGTTTGATCTTTGCTTTTATAACAGTTTTCATATAAATTTTTTCTGGCATGCAGTCAGCTGACATTGTGATTTAGGTTTCATAATTGATTGTGCAATGCTGAGTTCTGCCCCAGCAGCTTGCCCAGTGGGAGACAGGTTTTATAAACTGTCTTATAGATGAGTTCACCTTTACACATGGAGACTTTCTTGAAGGGAAGAGAGAGATGACCTTATTAGTTCATTAACCATGTTTTGTTAGGTTGCTTTGAAATTGCAGCCTCGTGTGTTAGGTATACTTTTCTTTCTTCCTTCCTTCCTTCCTCCCTCTTTCCC